GACCGCTGCCCATAGACATCCACAATTGCAGATGCGTTGCCTACCCTTATACGACGGAGGAGAAGACGCACATAATGAGGATATTTCCCCTTTTTATGCATCTCCTCCACCGTCAAATGCACTTCCCCTTCCTAACCTCTCCTTGTAAGAAAAGGGTGGTAAAGAGAAAGGAACTTAAATTAGGCCTCCGGCACCACACTCATCAGACGAAACACGGAATTGCTTCCATTTCACGCCTGTCTTTTGTGTGGTCGTGGTATTACACCGGGCGCGCCGGCCCATTCGTGCTAAGATGTTAAAGCGGGCACTACCACTGTATGTGCTGGTTGCATCACGATGTTTTCCTTAACCGTAAGAACGTCGGGTAAATAACATATGAAAATTCGAAAAATCGAAAATTTCATTGTTATGGCGGAATTTGAACCCAAGACTTGTAGATTACAAGCACTTGGCTTAAACAACTGAGCTACCGATGCTTTAAAAAAGTTATTACAATTAGAAAATCTTATTTGTGCTTCTTGAGAGATTTTCTGCACCAATGAGACAATATTTAATATAATTTAAACGCTTCATCTTTATAATTAGCATAACAAAAGCTCCCTTCATATTTGTCAGAGTTGATCCCGGCTGTGACGGACGGGCATTCATTACGGGGCCTTCTTGCCACTATCGCGGTTAACTCTTGTCGTATTTGCCCTTTGACAAATTATATCTTTGTCGTGAGAATTAACCATTTATGGGCAGAATGATGCTGTAATAAATTAGAACTGGGATGTATGTACGATGTTAATAAAGGGTTTATCTCCCCGCAAACCCTCGTGACACTGAGAAATTGAGATATATGAATGTTGTGTTCACTTAAATTTCAGGTTAATCTATCTTTTGTATGAGTCAATTTTTTTAAACTTACTAATACTCGTATTATAAATGCGAAAGTTCAGATGGACAGATGTTTGTTAGAGTTTGTAGGCTAAACGGATTTCGATGATATTTGGTATAGATGTAGAGGATAATTTAGAAGAATACATAGGCTTCTCACTTTTGTTTTTTTAATCCACGCGGACGGAGTCCCGGGCGAAAGCTAGTAACAGTATAAATGCGAAAGTTTAGATGGATGGATATTTGTTAGAGTTTGTAGCCTAAACGGCTAAACGGATTTCGATGAAATTTGGTAAAGATTTAGGGGATAATCTAGAAGAATACATAGGCTACTCACTTTTGTTTAATCCACGCGGAAGGGCCGGGCGAAATCTAGTTATCTAATAAATTACTTACTTAAAAAAAGCTTATTAAAATGAAGATTGAAATATTTTGTCGAGGAAAACCTTTATACTAGTATTTTTGTTGAATATCATCTCAGTTATATGCTGGTCAATCTATACTAATGTTATAAAGAGGAAAGAATTGTATTTTTGTATGTATTGAATTAAGTCAAAAACCATTTGGTCGATTAAAAAAATGATTTCACCATTAAAGCTACGTTATCAGTGAGTAACCTAGGCTATGTTTTTTACTTATTATAATTTCACGCAAGCGAAGTCGCGAGCAACAGCTAGTCATTAAGTATTTTTAAAGATGCTGACCACTTCATTACACTTCAATGGTCGTTGTTCCACTTTGAGTGACTTAGTTCCCAAGGAAGTCGTAAGATGCGGACGTAGGATTGTATTCTGAAGGCATCGGAGAAAATTTAAGTCCAGCAGTGGGCAGATTTTTTTTTTAACATAAGGTAGCAAACGAGCAAGCGGCCACCTTAATCCGCCAAAGTGGCGAAGCGAACGCTGCCCATATACATTCGCAATTGCAGATGCGTTGCCTACCCTTGTCCGGAGGAGGAGACGTACATAAAGAGGATATTATATTATAAATGATGACGATGATGATGTCGATGATGATTTGAAACCCAACTCTAAATTTAAAAACTCCAAATTTTTTACTTCGTCAAAATAAAAGTGAGTGACGTAATCGTGATTTTATTTAACGCTTTACAGCTTTACCACAGTAGCATAAAATCAATAGGGTTGCCAACACCATACAGATATAAAAACTCCTCATTCGAAGTATTAATATTAGCGACAAAACATAATTTTAAAATAAATTAATTAAACGAACCTTTCAGCATTGATGAATGTACAATTTAAAAAATTTGATAAAAGAAATGTCAAACATATTCTTATTAATTTTATCAAGAAAAAGAAAATACATTTTCCTAACAGAAAATGAAACTTTCCCTTTTCATTTATACTCATTTCTTATTTGAAGTAATGAGAACGAATTTATAACACAAATATATTTTATGGCTGACAACAAAATAACAAATTTATCGCAACAAGAAATCTCGAAAGGAGCTGACATTCACTTTGTTTTTCGTTATCTGACAACCCTAATATTTTACTACGACGGGGAATATTAAACACGACGACACGTTAACGGCACGAGATGAATGACATTAACGATATTTCAAATAAGTTATATTTTTTAAATTAGATAAAATTAATATGAAAATAATAACAACAAGAGTTAATTAACTATAGCATTTTGTTCAAAGGAAAAATATTGTATTTAAATAAGTAAAAAATTAATATAAACCATTAGAAATGCCACAGATAAATTTAGTGCTTCGTCTGATTTTTTCACAATTGTTATCACGGTATTTTCAATTTTTAATTCACTTATTCAATAACATTAACTGGATAAACATTATTGCTGCAGCTCTAAAAACTGTTACCGCAAATTGATAAACGCGTTGGCTGTAAAGCGCTTTAACGTCAGTCATATTAACCGTGGCTTTTATTCAAATTCAGCGTTCGGTTCGACGCTCATCGCTGAATGGCGCGCTTTATTATTCAATTCGTGAATAAATCTTACTTTCCTTAATGCGTCATCGAATCGTTCTCTTAAATTACCTCCAATGAATTCGAATCAATAAAACCAATTGTACATTTTGACACAAATTCTGAAATATGAACGTTCTAACTCGTTCGGAAAATACTAGATAGTATTAGCTCAGCGTTACTAAAATAAAAACGGAAACCTAAAACGTTACTGGGCGATATTACGTTAAACTTTTTCCAACTAACTGTTTGACGTAATTTAGTGAAGCTATTACTATTAATAGCCGGTCTATCTACAGAGCTAATCCTATTATAACTCTTTCGTTTAAATATATAAGAGAACCGAATTTCGTTAGGCGCGTATAAAATAAAGTGAGCGAAGTTCAAAGCGAAAGGAATACAATATTACGGCATAATAAATATGAACAAAGACAAGCTTTCGCTCGATCTCGATAGTTGAACGGAACGTGAGATAATGGATTTTTCCATCTACAAAGAAACAAGTAGGTCGCAGCGGGGTCTATTCATCTCATATGTGGGCCTGGAGTCAATGCCTGCGCTTCGACAAAACGTTTCTTTATTTCATTAGAACGCATTCAGCGAAACGCCTATTGTGTGTAAAGTGCACTGCCATCCTTTCCATTCTAAACAATTGCACTTTCATTCCAAAGAAATCACTTTTCTATTCAGCAATAATACATACATCCTCACGTCTTTTATTTTTAAGGAATTAGAATAAATAACTCTAAGTACCATTCCGATTTGAACGACGTAGTTTTATTTTTCGTCACAATAACGGTGAAAATCGTTTCTGAGCTTTAATTGTAATTCCTCTCTACTTTTTTGCGTCAGCAATTTCTATACAGAAAAATAATAACGTCACGCTGTAAAGATTGCTACATGTATTTGCAAATATTGAAATCTTGTGTTAGGTATTTCCACAAATGACTTCCTTTAAAATATAGACGGACGGCCATTAATTAAAGTAAATTACTTTAAAACACACAGACTGAACTTCAATGTGAGAACGCAAAGATGTCGAACGTTCTGTGGTGACAATTAGGAAAACACAACTTGTTGGCGACTGAGCGCCGAGACTGCAACTGAGCGTTTGCCATATATTTTATAAAACTACCCCCCACTATTCCTTCCGTTTCCTATTATTTTCCTAACAATATTGTTGTCTAAATAAAGGTAAATGTAGTAATAAATAATACAGATTAACAAAATAACTTTTAAGAATACAGAATACATCAAAAATAGTTAAAAAGCTAACATTTGCTTGGAATAATCATCTGTAACCTGCAGTCTTAATTATAAGTCTAAACAAGTCTTTAATAAAATTAGTTTACAATCGTTCTCTAAAAAATTAAAACTTGAAAATACTTTTTCGATAGCCGTAACGCCGCAATATAAGTTCACTTTACCAATACATATAAACATATCTTTTGTTATTACCACTATAGAAAGTTTTTTGAATCATAGGATGGGTTTCGCAAATAAAGAGATATAATTTTTATTTTTTTCTAACTTTGATGTTGAAACATAAAATTTATATTGTTTTTCTGCAAAACGGAACACTTGAAACGTCATGGTGGCGTTTTTCAAGACGCAAAATGTCATGTAATTGTCATTTGTCATTCATGTAAACGAAAGTGAAAAGTTATTGATATTTTGCAATAATTATTTCATAAACTCGTTCTAGTTGCATATATTGTATTAGATTTGTTATTTTCATAGGAGTGTACAGTTTTTTAATCTGCAATTTATGACTAAAATATAAAGTAAGATAGTCGCAATCAACAAAGGAATTTAGTCCTTTATATCTATTTTTGTGTTTATTTCTAGGAATCTAAAATGGATTGCGTGACTACATTAAAACTTTTAGTAATTGGAGAAAGTGGTGTTGGTAAATCTAGGTAATATGCGGTATTTATTATCTTCTTTGTTTACAATTACGCACTATATAGGTGTGTCAAGGGCATAAAATTGTTGAATTTATTTTGATATTATTTTATATAGACAATTATCTGTCTGTTGAATTTAGGAGTCCAAATAAATAATTGCTATTTTTTACCCAAGTAATTTTTATATAATCAATGAGGCCTTGTAAAAGTTTTAGTCCATGTGATTCACCTTTTCAACATGTTTTTGACAATAATATTAAAAGATATATACTTGTTTTAGTATGATCTTAGCATTCACAACAGGGGACTACAATGCCTCATTTCCGGCTACAATAGGAGTGGATTACAAGTGTAAAGTGATGGATGTAAATGGACTTAAAGTGAAACTTGGCATCTGGGATACAGCGGGACAAGAGAGATATAGGACATTGACTAACAGTTTTTACAGGTATTTCAAACTTTATCATTATTGAAATTTGTTTTCTTTCACCTGCGACTCTGCAAGGAATTAAAATAAACATAAGTTCTCATACATTCTTTCCGACTATTCTCTATATGACAATTTTTATCAAGATCTGTTCAACAGTTTAGACTACAAACTCTAACAAACATCCATCCATCCAAACTTTGGCGTTTCATTATGTTTTATATTTTTTTTATATAACATAAGATGGCAAACGAGCAAGCGACCACCTGAAACCGCCAAAATGGCGAAGCGACCGCTGCCCATAGACATCGGCAATTGCAGATGCGTTGCCTACCCTTACACGACGGAGGAGGAGACGCACATAAAGAGGATATTTCCCCTTCCTACGCATCTCCTCCACCGTCAAATCCACTTCCTCCTCCCAACCTCTCCTTATAAGAAAAGGGTGGTAAAAAGAAAGGGACTTAAATTAGGCCTCTGGCACCACACTCATCAGGCGAAACACGGAATTGCTCCCATTTCACGCCTGTCTTCTGTGTGGTCGTGGTATTACACCGGGAGTGCCGCCCCATACGTGCTAAGATGTTAAAGCGGGCACTACCACTGTTAAAGATTATATTTTAATAGAATGTTTTTCCAGAGAAGCTCATGGTGCTATTTTGGTGTATGATGTATCGGATCCCAAGACGCTGGGTAAACTTACCGAGTGGGTCGAAGAGTTACAAGTATACTCCACTAAGAAAAACATTGTCTGTCTTGTGGTTGGAAATAAAATTGATAAGGTAATATTCAATTTTAACATTTTTACTTTAAGTAAACTAGATGTTCACTTCTAATCTTACTTATCACTAATATTATAAATGCGAAAGTTTAGATGGATGGATGGATGTTTGTTGAGTTTGTAGCCTAAACGGCTGAACGAATTTCGATGAAATTTTGGTAAAGATGGAGAGGACAGTCTGGAAGAACACATAGGCTACTCACTTTTGTTTTTTTAATTCCACGCTGAGTCGCGGGCGAAAGCTAGTTATAAATGAAAAATCATTAGAACGAGTATTTGATATTTAATATAATTTACTATAAATAGGTCTGATAATATAAGATGAACCAATGTACAGTCACCTACCTTCGCGGTAGTCCAGTTAAAAAAAAATGCATTTCAATGAAAAAAAAAATATTATACTTTGTAATAAATTACTGTACATTTCGAAATATTTGAGCAATAAAAACTGCATGATGTGTTTTATATTTTAAAATATGTAATTATCATTGCCACTCGAGTGAGGGATAAAGTTATAAAATTTGAAAATGTTTTAATTCCTCACCTTTCATATTCTCTTTCACTCTCACCTATTTTTTTAATAACTTTAAATTGTTATGTAACTGTTGCAATAACATTATTTCTTGCTTTTATTTTAAATGCTAGTCTAGTTGGGAGGATCAATGTTTGCTAGAAGCTATCTCCTAAATAGCTGGACGGATCTTGATATAATTTGGCATAAATGTAGAGCATAGTTTAGATAAATGCATAGGTTACTTACTGTTTTTTTTTTAATTTCACGCAATTGAGTCGCAGGTAAAAGCTAGTGTTAACATAATTAATATGACTGGTGTTTAGCCTCGCGCAGTTCCGCGGGAGGCGGGCCAGGCCTTCGCCATGAAACACAGAATGCTGTTCATAGAAAGCAGCGCTAAAACTCAGGAAGGCATAAACTTGGCTTTCGAAGAGCTCGTGCAAAAGGTAAGTTAGATCCGGACTTTCAATAACCTTTTAATTAAGTGCTATGCAAGTTTCCACTTTGAATTTCACCAAGTTTTGTGCTGTGCAGCTTTTAAAATGCGTTCGAAAGTTTTGAAAAATGATAAAAGCTTTATTTACTTTAGTTTTCATAAAGTTTGATATTGGTCTACAATAAAGTTTGACGTTTTATTGGTATCGCCTTTAACGGGCTTTTATACTATATTGAAAGTTTTTTCATATTGCATATGTGACGACATTTGTCACATGAAATTAAAAAAAATATCGATTGAGTTTTGTGTGTGACAGAGTGAGTCATCGAGTGTGACAGAATATCTTATAAACTGCATCATCGTAAACGAAACGCTAACGTGGTACAGTCGCGGAAATTCGCGATGTTCCACTTACAGAAATATTACCTTGTTTCTTGCAACGGGACATAACTCTTCTCTAACTAATAACTAATTATGCAGCAGTAAGTTCAGAAAATAACAGTATAGTATAAAAAAACTATTAGCGTACAACTGACCGATCTTTTTTTCGTATTTGTCTGTCATTTAAAATTTGTATCCTACTGGTATTCGAAATGTACATGCAACTGTACCTTTTAACGTAGAACACCGTCAGTGTGTCTGACTGTACCTCTCTTACCGCATTATATTATAGTTTTAACAATATGCATTATTAATAAAAGTTCGATATTTTAGATAATCGAAACCCCAGGTCTTTGGGAGTCAAAAGGATCGTCGTCAAATATTCGCGTATCTAACGAAGATGGCAGACAGCAAGAAGAAAGTTCGTGTTACGATTACACTTGTACAATATAGTTACAAACTGTTTATTTTTTAAATATTGGCTGTATATTTAAGAGTTTTTTCAATAATGAAATACCTGTACACATTTTTATTGATTCTCAATTATTACATTACATTATTTTATATTCACGAAAACAGTTTTTATCCATACAAAGATGAATGTATGATGAAAGGCGGATTTTATATTTTAGAGCGGGCGCGTTCCTTTGACTAAAATATCGCATAATTGTACGGTTGTTTTGCAATTCAACCGTTTAGTTGCACAATTAAAAATCGAGTAGAGTACCTCCATATAAGCTCATAAGAATCAAAGCGAGTAAACAGTTGTGCGATGGTTTAGTCCAAGTTGCGCGCGCTGTACTGTTGACCACCTCACTACCCATTTGTGATGAGACACACAATATTCACTGGTTTTAATGAAGATGTAAAATAACTAAAAGGCCGTAGATATATTCAGAGTTATAAATTTCTGAGGATTCAGATAAGTGACAGAAGAACTGTTGATAGTTTTTTATATTTTTTTTTATCAAAATCTTTATATATACGTATACTTCTGTATGGAAAAATGTTTTTGGTACAAGTTTCGACAATGTAACCCACATATTAAAACAATTATTAAATAAAATATTTCATGCAAATAAAAGTATAAAATGTCTATTCATTCTCTTTCTATTAGATAGATTGAATTTTTTTAATATTTTTTTAAAAATGGTATTTTTTTATTACTCAAACCAAAATTACATTAATAAAATGCCTTTATGTCTTAGTACACAGGTTAAATACATAGGAAGTAAATTAGTACTTTAACCGATCACACGACAAACCATGTTTTTAAAATCAATAAATATATAATTTTTATAAATTAGATAAAAGATTTAAATTAGAAATGTTACTATTTATTAAGTTTATATTCACGTATCAATCGTATATTTACATATAATATATTTTATTCTATTCTTGCATGAAGAAATTATTAACGAAATATTTAAGAGCGGGCTTGACTTCGACTAAACAATCGCACAACTGTTGTGCGATTGTCGATTGTTTCGCAGCGTCCACTGCTTAGATATACAACTAAAATCGAGTAGTGCACCTCCCAAGGGCGGATCCAGGGGGAGGTCACGGGGGTCATGATCCAAAATCTAGACAAAATATATTTACATATTTTGTCAAGCTCTTGACTTGACCACGACTATGTGACCACCCCCCCTGGAGCCAAAGCTGGATCCGCCCTTGGCACCACCATATAAGTTCATAGGAATCAAAGCAAGACTAAACAATTATGCGATAGTTCAGTTTCAGAGAAACTCAGAAAATTCAGTCTTAATGCATTTTATAGTTTGTTTTATATTAAATCTAAATTCGATGTTTAAAATAGCTTTCTTCATTTTATCGTACGACATATCATAGCTGAAATTGTAAAGTAGCCAGTTAAGTTAATAATGTACATTATAGCAGGAATTTTGTTTAAATAATTTACTTATGAAGACTAAACTTGGAGTAAAGACCAAAATATGGTTAACCTTTAATGCATGATGTGTAACTTCAAAAGCGCTTTATTAACTTAACAGTAGTTATGACGTTATGTTTAACTGCTAGTTAAGCGTTGCCGGTTAACTTTATCTAGTTGATTAGCTTGCTATCAAATTATTGGTACAGTAGGAAAATATTAATAATTCATTCGTATTAATATGTTGATAAAATTAAATAAATAAAATTCCTATTTTTTTCAGATGCCTTGATTTGTACTAATGTCTATACTGCTGTGATGAGTGTATATATTTATAATTAAAATTAATAGGAAAATAAAAGCTTATAACAAAATTGTTTATATTATTTCGTCGCATCTGTTCAATAAATGGCGACAGTCCTAATAGTACCACTAACAAATATCTTGACTGTACTTTTTGACTCATAGAAATGTGAACTTTATTTTCTACTCATTAAAGCTGGATTTATCAAAACATACCAGGAATGTTCGTAATTTTTATTTTAATGTATTTCACAGAATGCATTGCACAACGCATTTATTACATTTCTTACTTCTACATAGTTATCAGTCCATACAAAAGTGTTACAAATTTTGTCTTTATGCTCATGAGAATAAAATCCAATATTCAATTATAACGATATAAAACTACATTTACTAAAGGTATATGACGTCATTAAGTGAAATCCAATCACAGTAAATGATCGGTACTAACGGTAAATTGCTATTCCTAAATGAAAGGCGCTGAGTTAATACGGTTACTGATGAAACTTGTGAATATGGAAATGGGATATTAAACGGCGATTTTGTTATGTAAATTTATATTGCTATACTGGGAAATATCAGTTTCAATATTATAGTATTAGTTTCGTAATGATGAATTGACAAAGGAATTAAAACATAATTTTCTATAAATTAATTTCTGATTGTCAACACTAATTAGAATACTAACTATGTATTTGAAAATAATATCCCTTTATAACATCTGTTATATTCAATACCGAGTAAAAGAGTTAATTTAAAAATTATCTTAAAAAGAAAACTGTATTGCAAACATTAAAGATTTATTGTTCAATCCCTAAAAGTACATCCAGCTTAGGAATAAGCAAGAGTGGTGGCCGTATATTTGTCAACGCTTACCGCAAGCCCTTGACTGATGGCCGGGCTGCTAATGAGGGCTACTAGAGCCTCTAGAGGTCAACCCTTCTTAGCCCTCACTTGTACACAAGCTTGTCATTCTTTACTTCCTAAAAAGTCTATTTACGAAAATACATTCTAAAACACCTAAGAAATTAATGCGTTTAAAAAAATAACATTTTTAGGTTATGTAAGATTTTTATTTGGGTAATAAAAGCACGTTTTACATTTTTTTGTCATTGTACATAAATGTATTTTTTATAAATAAAAAAACGATATCGTAGAATGTAAATTTATCTGAGAAAATTCTTAAAACCCTATCACTCTAACAAACATTTCTCTACCACTCTAAGAAACAGACTAAACGTCCTTGCAAAAGTAAACACAAAACTGTTCCGTCGACGAAGTACTACATTCTCTGTTAACTAAAATAACAATAATTGAATACTGTAAATTGTCCATTAATTATTTAGGTTTATTTCCTTTGTATCTATGTATAAACAAGTATTCAAACAGCGGTAAACACAAGACGACAAACGTCGACTCGGCACAATGTACGTCGGATTCATGTAACCGTGGGCAACCCTGAGTGTACTTGCCTACGTAGCGTGAAATAAACACTCAACGTATATTTACTTTAGAACTACGAATTTAGGGTTTATATGAAGCACGATCCAGACAACCAAGCGAAATAATTTAGCCTAAAATCGTATGTAATCGAAGAGAATATACAAGGTCAGATCGATCGACTAATTTAAAACTATAAATATTTTTCCATACACACTTTTATCACTTATCAAATAAATAAAAAAATTAAAACTATTTTTCCCACAAATCTTACTAATATTATAATTATTGGATTAAGGGCCCGATTCAAAAGGCGGTTATTTTAGAAACCGCACGAATAGTGAGAAGGTTCCTGTCTCTGCAGCCCCACTGGTTGCTTGAGTCATCGGATTCCGCAGCCGGTGGACTTCTATTTTTTTTATATAATATGTTTTATTTTGTTATTTTTTAAAAAAAATCATGTGAATTGTATTATATATAAAAATAAGAAAATAAAGATATGAGATTATAAATGCGAAAGTTTAGGTGGATATATGTTTGTTAGAGTTTGTAGCCTAAACGGCTGAAAAGATCTCGATGAAATTTGGTGTAGATATAAAGGATAGTCTGTAAGAACACATAGGCTACTTGCTTTATTTTTATTCCGCGCGGACGGAGTCGAGGGCGAAAGCTAGTACAACATAAATTAGAAGTTAGTAGCATAATTGATGTCGTGCATAGAATTTCATTTTCTCTATTTAATTTCGCCTATCAATCGAAATGTAAACACAGAAATATGCTCTTGAATTATCTCTACTAAATTCTACATTCTTACATTTTTAATTGTTTGATTTTACTATAATAAACCCAACATATGTTCAAGTATTTAAAACACGTCAGTAGCAGCAACTCTCACGACGCTATGTTTAATTACTCGCTCGTAGTCAACGTCTACAGCAATCTGGTAATTTAACTCGTCGGATTGTGATCCGCTTTGTATTTCACTAGATTGTTCCCAAGGATGCGACACAAAGCTTTTATTAGCATAAAACAAGGGGGTTAAAAGATTTACAGACGAATTAATGAAATATTCAATTGAATAAGTCAAAACAAAGGGATAAATAACAACTTACACGATTATTTAAAGAAAAGTAATATTTAAGTACTAGTAATTAAGTATCAAGTTGCATGGATGTCGCCAGAATCAAAATATGTAAAGTACTTCAAATGAGATAATATTCAAGATGGCTGCCCTGCTCTAAACCTAACCTATATCATCTGCCCTCGTTTTCTAAAACAAAGAGTTGATCACAAACTCCTTTGCGGATACCTCAACATCCTGCCACTCACTTTGGAAGAACTCGTGAAAAAAGAGGCTGCAATAGATTCTTTTAACAAATTTATTACTTACATTATAGACAATTTAAAGTTATTTAATAATCCCATCACTCCGAACTCATCATAACCACATTATTTACTCTTATATCTTACAGATTACTACTCACCCTATTATTATTATTATTGTTTTATTTATAATTTATTATTTATTTCTTAGACTATTAGATTTAGACTGAAAAAAAAAAGAATTTTATTAAAGTTTCTTTATATCATCTGTGTCAACATTGTCTACTTTTAATCTAATTTAGTCCTATTTTAGTTTTATAAGCACTTTGCCCGGCAGCAGTAACACCGAAAGTATCCAATCGCTACAGAACTGCTGTCCTGGTGTTGCGTTAAGAATTTATGTTAAATTTTGTATATTATTACTATTTTTATTTTTACAGTTTAATCATGTTTATCCGCTGTGTTGTAATATTGCTTATGTGTACAAAATAAAGATAATAAAAAAAAAACCTATATCATCGGCTGAAGATGACCAATTCAAGACTATATCAAATGCAAACCCACGATCTATATCTCAATTTAAATTTATATGAAATTTATTGTGGTCTGAGGAAATTATGACAAACTTTAGTTTCAAACAATAAGCTTAAATGTACCTCAAAATCGAATGAACCGGTCGAGTTATTACTTATCAAAGTGGTTTTCGAAATAAATACGAGTAGAACAAACACAACTTTCAATAGTAAGTCTGTTTGTAAACCGTACTTTGGAAAACAATTGACAAAGCGTACGACTTAATCCGGCGGGGTTCCGTTGAGTCCGGTTCAGCCCGGATCCTATGAGTGACGTCGTAAAGTACACGCTTTAAGACTCAAACCGACGACGTCTCAAGACGTGTGGTACAAGTCATAAGATGAATAAATTATTATTTTTATAATTGTTTTTAGGCTCAGTCTATAACCCCTTTACATAAACCCTAGACCCTAGATGCTATATACAGATATTTACTAGACAGTCTACATATATACACGTCAGTTATTTCCCATGGAACTCTTATCTCCAAGATATTCGTTAAGTGCCATTTAAAGTTTATCGCCACTAGCTGTTCGGAATACTGTAAAATGCTATTTTAGGTATCGTCGAAAGATAAAAGTAACGAGCTTGTCACCCTGCTTTCCTTTCTCATCTGATGGTGAGCTCACCGTATACTCCTAGAAAGACGCGGGCTCAGTAACTACTGGCCAATACTTAGTTTGTACCTTGTAGTATCGGCGTAAGGTAAGGGTCCTTAAGGTTTAGTAAGAGGCGAAACGGGTCTACGAATTACAGTCTCACGTAACCCTGTTAACCCCGTGATATTAATAACCGTTTATATAAATTCGCTTCAGCGTATAACATAGACCAAACACTTCAGTTACCGGCGTTTGAGTACAAGCCACAACTTCCTATTGCGTTGATAGTGTACGTGGTTTGAGTAGTATTGAGTTAACTTTACTCGCGTTTCGCTACACCGATATTTGAAACAGTTAACTTTGATATTATATTGTAATAAAATATTTTATAACGGTAAATAGTATTTAAACCGCTTTAAGAGCGGACGCACACCTTTTACTAAACTATTGCACAATTGTGCGATTGTCGATTGTTTTGAAGCCTAATCAACTGTTTAGTCGCACAACTAAAAATCGAGTGTTCATCATCATCGTATCCTACTCCCGTAGGGTCGGCACAATAGGTTTTTGTCCTCCAAATAACTCTATCATACGTCATCTCTGTCACTCCCTTTTGATCATGCCACCTTTCACGTCCTCCTTTCCATCCATCTCTTTCTAGGTCTACCTCTACCGGTGTACCTCCGCATTCATAACTAACGTTCTCCTTGTAACATGCGATTCATCCCTCCTCATAACATGAGCATACCATGCTATCCTTTTACTCCTTACTTTAAAAATCTAGTAGTGTATATTAGCTCATAGGAATCATAGTAAAACTAAACAGTTGCGCGATAGTTTAGTTTTGAGTGCACACTTAGAACATTTTATTTAAAGTTGAGTATTGAGTAAGAGTACTATGGTACATGGCCACGTATAAATACGTACATATGATGTCATTTGTATGGTTTTTTTACACGTTGGTTGCACACTTGTTATATTACCATATCAAAAGCTCTGCTCGCGAAGCTCAAAAATGCTCTACGTATGAAGACGTCTAGACGGAAATGTGTAACTCAGAATAAATTTGAATA